CACAACACATCATGGACAAAGGTAGACATTTGAGAGAGAATCTTCATACACCAAAAACCATCCATATGAACTCCAAGAACAAGTCTAGGCGTTTTTGGCTATGAATGAGCATATTTATATGTAGGATTCCAAGGGTCATGGGTATAACCCAAATCCATACCCGTAGGTGTTATGATCCATGGTTCATGTAGCCCAACTCTTTATGTATCCATACATAAACTTGGTCCAACATGGATCATAAGCCCAACACATATAAATATAACTAATTACCATAATTAATCTCCATAGATTTAATTAGTCTACTTTGATCACTAAATTAATTCTTGATCAATACTAACTAAAACATATGATTTCATATTAATATATTATAAGTTATAATATATTAATAAATCATATATGACCTTCTCTCAAAAGTCCATCCTAACAAATTGTCCTGATGATATGCAACCTAAATGGACCATGATACTCTCGGGTCGAGGACATACGAATAATAGTTATGGGGTTAGACGTCTAATCTAACATGAATACCTCTTTGCCTTTCTTCTTGAAGAATTAACGAATATGCTATAGAAATTGTAGGTAATGGCTTCATCATTAAGATCTGGCCACGAGTAATTTTGAATGATTCATCTAATCCTATGAGCATTTGAATAAGTCTTTGATCTTCAAGAAGCTTCATGATTCGACTCCAACAACACATGTACAAGAAGGAATAACTTGAACCATTCGCAATTCATCCCGAACTCGAGCTAATTTGGTGAAGTGTGTAGCAAAGTCATCTGATCCTAGATTGATAGAATACAATTGTTGTTGAATTTGATAAATAAGTGCTCCATCAGCTTACTCATATCGCTGATTCAATTCCTTCCAGATATCACGAGCAGTTTTAAGAAACAATACACTTTCAGCTATGTTCTTGTGAAGAGAGTTCAAGATCCAACGAAACACCATCGAGTTGGCACAATACCAATCAAAATATTCAGGTGAAGAAATAGAGGGTGGAGGGAGCGAGCCATCTATGAATCTGAGTTTGTTCTTTGCAGACAAAGAAATAGTCATTGATCTTTTCCAACCAGTAAAACCTACTTCATTGAAGATGTTGGAAACAAGAATGGAACTAAGGTTGTCAGAAGGAGCAATGAACAAAGGATTAGATGAATTTAATCCAATTAATGAATCGGATCCAGATGATGAATTAGACATGATGAAACCAAAAACTGAAATTGATTTAAAAAAAAAATAAAGAACAATCAATGCATTTTGATCAGCAACTCTGATACCATGTTCAAGTTGAAAAAGGGGGAAATTGGATGAATTCATTGATTTCAGTTGTCTAAACATTACAACACTGAATACAAGCCTTAAATATATAGAACGAATACATAACAAAGAATGCCAGCTATACTAACTATAAAAAAAAGACAAAAATACCCTTGACTCACTAAATAATTTCATAGATGGTTGGTATTCCTTTTACTTCCATTCGGTTCAATGAATATATAATTATGTTCATAGACTAAAAAATACTTAAAAGTGGATATAAATTCAACAATCTCTTTCTAATTAAAAAAAATTAAAAATGAAATGCAATAATGATAAATTAATTATCCTTCGTAAGGAAAGTTCCCTTTACAAAAAAAAATTAATTATAATACGTTGCTATCTTAAATATCTTCACATAAAATAATAAAAATTAAATATCTTAAAATATATAAATTTGATAAAAAAAAAAAGTATTTATTAAGATATATCTAGACATAACATAATAAAATAAGATATCTTAAAATATATATCAAAAAATTAGTATGGTTTCAAATGAATCCGGACCTATAAATTTGATGCAAAAATCATCCTAAACCTAGCCACGGAAAGTATTAAGCGTTTTTGTTTAAAAATCCATCAAATCAAATACAATTACCGTTTTTTTTTTTAATCACGTTGAAACATATTCAAAGCACTAAAGAAAACCATAAAATATGCTACAAAAGAAGAGCAAAAACATAGTCATCAAGATTATATAAAATGTTGTGTTTGTCGGTGTTTTTTGGTAGCATAATTATATAAAATACGAAAAATGAATTCATAAATAAATTCTTTAAATGGCATGATTAGTGTTTGGCGTTTATTCTTTTAAGCCATACAAACCTTTATTTTAATATTCATTTCATGTATCGAAATTATAGTTTGATAACTTAATATCATCGAAGTTATATTGTCAATTGGTTTAGTGTACCATTCTTCATAAATTATTAATTAGTATATTAGAATAAGATAAATAAATGTTGTGAGTATATGATTTTAATAAAAAATTACAATCGATGAAAAAAATTGGATTTCAATAAATCGATTTCCTTACAAAATAACTATAATAAATTATAAATAGTAGTTTTTTAAAATATAAATAGTACCAAACTCAATAGGCATAATTGTAAAAACTACATATTTTTATTTTTATCATATAATATTTTATGCTTAAAGTTTCATATTACATATCTTAATATACGATGCAATGAAAACTGTTTATAAGGTAACATTTTTCAAAGTAAACTATTAACAAAAAGAAATTATTTTTCAAAAAGAAACTAATAGCTCAAAATTACTATCCAGCGTCAAAAGTAACTATCCATTTCATGGCAACCAAACTATAAAAGCAAAAAATATAACCTATGCAAAGGTCGAAAAGACTATCTCTGCAGAAGAACGTGTGAAATAGACGAAATGAACTATTTTTCGCTAAAAGAAAACTAATCGTTGTGTGAAAACTATTTGCTGAAAAAAACTAGTGACTCTGCATTGCACGGGTACTCCACTACTAGATATATATATATATATATATATATATATATATATATATATATATATATATATATATATATATATATATATATTCATTGCATCGTATATTAAGATATGTAATATGAAACTTTAAGCATAAAATATTATCTGATAAAAATAAAAATATGTAGTTTTTACAATTATGCCTATTGAGTTTTGTACTATTTATATTTTAAAAAACTACTATTTATAATTTATTATAGTTATTTTGTTAGGAAATCGATTTATTGAAATCCAATTTTTTTCATCGATTACAATTATCAGGTAATTTTTCTCACAACATTTATTTATCTTATTCTAATATACTAATTAATAATTTATGAAGAATGATACACTAAACCATGACAATATAACTTCGATGATATTAAGTTATCAAACTATAATTTCGATACATGAAATGAATATTAAAATAAAGGTTTGTATGGCGTAAAAGAATAAACGCCAAACACTAATCATGCCATTTAAAGAATTTATTTATGAATTCATTTTTCGTATTTTATATAATTATGCTACCAAAAAACACCGACAAACACAACATTTTATATAATCTTGATGACTATGTTTTTGCTCTTCTTTTGTAGCATATATATATATATATATATATATATATATATATATATATATATATATATATATATATATATATATATATATATATATATATATATATATTAAAATTCTGATGTAATTGTTATATTTTTCTTAAAAATTATCCACGGGATTTTTTGTTTTTCTGTCAAATTTTGGTCCCCATTGAAATCCGCCGAATAAGCTGTCAATAATAGGATTTTTTGTACTAATCATTCCCATAAGCTTTAACCTTGGATTGAATTCCAAAAAAGTCAGAGGTAACCTCATGACCGACGTAGCAAGTGGGGTGTGGTGCTGGTGTCGACGACCAAATCTAAGTCCAAATTCTGGAGCAAAATCTTGGAGAACCACTCATCAGGTCAACCCTTACCCTCACAGCCTTCTTTGACAAAATGAATATATTCCAAATAAATTAACAATCTGCAGTTGAAGAAAAAATGAATTAACAATTCTCCAAAGAAAACTTCAATGGAGATCCTTCATTATTTCTTATTTTTTGGTCTCCTGATGTCTTATTTGGGAATTTGTAGGGCACAAGACACCATAACAGCTAATCAAACTCTCCGTGATGGGGATACCCTTGTTTCAGCCGATGAAATGTATGAACTCGGGTTTTTTAGTCCCGGAAACATTACAAATCGGTATTTGGGGATATGGTACAAGAACAAATCTCCATTGACAGTGGCATGGGTTGCTAACAGGGAGACACCAATAACAGATTCGTCAGGTATCTTCAGAGTTGACACCAACGGATCCCTATTGGTTATCGCTGGTAGCAACAACACCATCGTCTGGTCATCTAACCCTCGCCCGGTGTCTCCCACAACCATAAATCCGGTGGCACAACTTTTGAACCCTGGAAATCTTGTTGTTAGAGATCAAAGTGGCGAAGGAAGTTTGATTTGGCAAAGTTTTGATCACCCTGGAGACATGTTCCTTCCCGGGATAAAATTAGGGAAGGACCTGATCTCTGGGTTAGATAGGCGGTTATCATCATGGAAGAGCGTCGATGATCCTTCACCTGGCCTGTATGAAGCGTTGATGAATACAAACGGGTACCCACAATTGTGGGTAGAAAGAGATTCTGTTCCTTACTCGAGGTTTGGACCATGGAATGGTCTTACGTTCAATGGCATTCCTACTCATATTTCAAACTCCATATACACACACGACTTTGTTATGAATGATAAGGAGGTGTACTATTGGTTCACACTTGTTAACAGTTCAGTCGTGACACGCATCTACTTCACTTCAGAAGGCATCCCGTTACGAATGAACTGGAATGAACGAACACAGATGTGGTTCCTATACTCTAGCGCCAATATCGACATGTGTAGCCTTTTCGCGCTATGTGGTTCAAATGGAAGGTGCGACCCTAAGAACTCACCTCTTTGTAGTTGTATGGAAGGGTTCGAACCACGAAACCCAGACGAATGGAGTGCATCCCAGTGGTCAAGTGGGTGTCGCCGTAGAACAGCCTTAAGTTGTTCGAATGGGGATGGCTTTCGTGTGTTTAAAAATGTTAAATTGCCAGACACTCGGCGTGCATGGTTCAATAGGAGCATGACACTTGGCGAATGTGCGACAGCATGCAAGCAAAATTGCTCGTGTAACGCGTATTCGAATATTGATATTCGAATGAACGGAAGCGGATGCTTGCTGTGGTTCGGTGATCTAATGGATATCCGAACGGTGGATGAAAGCCAGGACCTTTTTGTAAGGATGGCTGTCTCCGACTTGACAGGTACGTAGAAGCTGATTTTTCATGATAATAAACGACTTTCAAAGATCCAGTTTGAGTTTTTAATGTGTATTTTTATTTATTTATTTATTTATTTGACAATCTTACCGGTTCTTTTGACTAATAACAGATCATGTTCGTCCAAGGTTTCAAACATTATTAACTTGTTATGTTTTTGCTAATAGTTCAATCAATACCGGAATTTACCTCCAGACCAGCTGGTTCCAACAAAAAGAGGCAAACAATCATAGTGGTGGTGTCGATCTTATCTATTCTTGTTATGGTTATCTTGATTTTAGCAATCTTGTATGGTAGGAGAAAAAATAAAAGATCCCGAGTGAAAAAAATACCAGCCGGTAATTCTTTGATTATTTTGGTTATTTATAGAGTAAATGTCAAAAATAATAATTTGAAAAGTGAATCGTTCATTTAACATATATTAGTTTGGTTTGTTACCATTTGCTGATGTACCAGTGCAAACCATTGATGAAGAGTATATCATAGAGAGCCAAGATGATGATACAGAGTTAACGGCTTTTAGCCTGACTAAGATTTCGAAATCCACTAATGATTTTGCAAATGACAAAAAACTTGGACAAGGTGGTTTTGGTCCTGTTTACAAGGTAAGACTGTTAAAAGCTACCGATAGTTCTTTATATTTTCAAACATTTAATTGAATTTATATTTGTTAAAAAGAATCTTATTTTTTTGTTCAATATGTGAAATACCCTTTGATCTTTAGGGTGTGCTTGATGACGGACGAGAAATAGCTGTGAAAAGATTATCCAAAACTTCAAGACAAGGAATTGGAGAGTTTAAAAATGAAGTCAAATTCATTGCTAAGCTTCAACATCGAAATCTTGTAAAGCTTTTGGGATACTGCATTCAAGGAGATGAAAACATGTTAATATACGAGTACATGCCTAACAAAAGTCTGGACTCATTCATATTTGGTACATCTTTACTTTCTATGAAACATGTTTCTTCGCCTTGCTTGCTTTTCCATTTTTTCTTAAGGTAAATCATTCTGATAACTTATGTTGAGCAGATAAAATCAAAAGTTCCATACTAGGTTGGTCAGATCGTTTTCGCATCATTCATGGGATTGCTCGAGGACTCCTTTATCTTCATCAAGATTCACGATTTAAAATTGTTCATCGAGATCTCAAAACAAGCAATATTTTGCTAGATGTTGACATGATCCCAAAGATATCAGACTTTGGTCTTGCAAGAATGTTTAGAGAACATGAAAATGAAGCAAATACGAACAATGTAGTTGGAACTTTGTAAGAATTCATAAATTGACCATGCAACTTTCTTTATAAATTTTACTTCTTCATGTCATGTTTAAACCTCCATAAATTTTCCTTCAGGGGTTACATAGCACCAGAATATGCTGTAGATGGGATTTTCTCGGAAAAATCAGATGTCTTCAGTTTTGGTGTTCTTGTGTTGGAAATTGTGAGTGGGAAAAAAAATAGAGGATTCTCTCATCAGAATGATAGTGATAATCTTCTTGCACATGTAAGTTTTATAACGCTTTAAAGGAGTTTTTTAGTTGTTCGACTCAACACATTAGTGTTTTCTTTTTAACATCAAAACTATCCCTGTCAAGTTACAACTATTTGCAAATTTGTCAATCAATTTTTTCTTCTACTTCTCCAATGCGATTATTATTTAAATGTCATAGAATAAAATTTAGTTTACATAGAAGATGATTGTTGTTGTGGCTTATTTCGGTTTTTTAGGCATGGAGACTTTTTGAAGAAGGCATGGCAATGGAGTTGCTTGTTGCGCATATGCGTGAGTCATGTGTAGCCTCCGAAGTACTTCGCTCAATACATATCGGTCTTTTATGTGTCCAACATTTTGCAAAAGATAGACCAACTATGTCATCTGTCGTTTTGATGTTTGATAAAGAAGGTGCATTGCCTCAACCTAAACAACCTGCATTTTTTGCTAAAGGAAGTTTGCCTCAACTTAGTCTAGCTTCCGTCGATGACATAACAATGACAACACTAGAACCTCGATAATATGTATATTATTTGTTCATGTCAAGGTCCATTTCATGATCATAATACTATGTTTTCTTTTTCACATATATTATAGACATATCAACCAAATTGTTATAGAATCTATGGGTTGAATGTATGTTTTGTAAACATAATAAGATCGTTAAATGGCGACTTAGGCATCCACGATGTATTAACCTCTATACAATATTCCAGATTGTAACATTATCATTCTACTTTTCATAAAAATTTTCCACTTTTTCATAAAATATATTGAACTTTACAAAATTTCAATGGAACATATTTAAAAGAACTCATTTATGACATGGCATTCCATATCATTGAAAAAATCCCATTGAAATGTTTAACCACCATTAAACTCCTCTATACCGAAGGCTCTTGGCCTAGCTGTATGAGGTGTTTGAAAATGTTTCTCTCCCTTAAGGGGGTGACGTTTAAGTCCCATAGTAAACAAAAGTGTAGTCTAGAAGTAAGATTATTTAGAGTGTTTTTTATTTTTTTAATAAAAAACTCAATTGTTAAACGGCAACTTAACATCCTGTTATAGTTGGATTTTTTATTTATTGAATATCAACTAAGCATTCCACCTTATCCATCTCTTTCATGAAATTATACATTGTAGATGCTCTTAATTTCAATCAAGGTTTTAAATAGGACAAAACTTTAACAATGGTCCATGTGGTTTCCAAAAATCTGAAGTTCGGTCCCTACTTTATAAAAACCTCATAGATGGTCCTTGTGGTTTCAAAAGTTTTAGCAAACTATCATTTTCGCTAAGTCCGTTAACATTTAGCCGTTAAGTGAAGGGCATTTCTGTCATTTCACAACCACATGGAACATTTATGAAGTTTTTCCTTAATTTAAAATAAAATAAATAATAAATTTAATTATTTAATATTAAAGGGCCCCACCTCTCTCTCCCTCTGTCTCTCTCTCTCTCTCTCTCTCTCTCTCTCTCGTGAATCAGATCATCCTTCGTTGCCCCACCATCGCATCATTTCTCACCGTTTGTCACCACCAAATTCTACCACTAGTTCCTCTTTTAACACTCTGATCCCCATCTCAACCTTCTCTTCCTCCCTCTTCATAGCCTGAAGGTGGATCTTTAGTCTTAGACATTTCCTTCCTTCTTTCGTCAACAGGTCAAATCACGAGCATTAGAAAAAGGGTCTTTCTCTCTCTCTCTCTCACTAATTGACACACACACATACTCTCTCTCTCTCTCTCTCTCTCTCTCTCTCTCCACCACCTAAAGGTTCACCAAGATATTGAGCCTTAGTAGCAGGAATGAAATCGATTAGTAACCCAAATGAAATCATTCACAAAATCAAGAAACGGGTTCTCCGTCGGAACCCATGTCAGCGTCGCCTTATATGTTATGCGGAGTATGTGATATATGTTGCTATGTGATATGTATGTCTTATAAGTTATGCAGAGTACGTGATATATGTTGCTATGTGATATGTATGTGTTATTCTATGTTATGAGTTCCATGATATGGACCGGAATGTCAACAGTGTATGGACTGGAAGGTCATACGGGTAGGGCCGGAAGGTCTACCAGAGTTGGGACGGAAGTCCCCTGAGACACATGGATCAGAAGATCCCATAGAGTTATGGCCTTGAGTGGTGTATGTGTTGTATATGGTATTTTGGGGAACCCACTAAGCATTTATGCTTACAGTGTTATGTGTTATGTGTTTCAGGTACTAGCGATGATCGCGGGAAGGTGCCGACATGATCCGTACACACTGGCAGAAGATTTATTTTATGATCATGGGATATGTTTATATCAGGATGACATTTGTTAAACTTGAGAATTTGAGAATATTGAATGAGTGTTATTTTATTTGAAAAATGAAATTTTGTTTTGAAAATTCACGTTGTTACAAGTTGGTATCAGAGCCTTGGTTTGAGGTATTCGGATACACCTTCGGGCGCATCTGAACTCAAACTGAGGATTTGAGAAAGTTTTCATACAAGAAACAATTTTTCTAAAAAGTAAAAGAAATTGAGAAAGCGGAAAGAAGTTGTGTGTACGATCAGTCAGCGCTCGGACGATGATTCCAAAATACCCTTATGTTATGTGTTATGAGATATGATACGATACGCTATGTATGCTAGAGTAGGCTAGGTATTCATATTAGGACTAAAGTGGCCTGATCTGTGATGCCTTAGCCTAGGAGATTACTGCTACTATGAGATGCTTGAGAGTGAGTAGGTAGCAGAGAGGAGCTTATGAGGGGCCTACCGAAGGGTAGCCGGTGCTTAGCAAGAAGTAGAGTACTTGTGATCTGGGATCCTAGGAGGAGGACTTGGAATGAATGTTGATGTGGTGTGGAAGGTGGTATAGGGCCCGTACTACTGGAACAAATCCAAGTAAGAATCTTTGGGATACTAAGGAACAAGTAGGGTTGAGTTGTCGAGTGTGAGTACACTCGAGCAAGTATCTGATATTTTTATGTTGTATTTCAGAGACATCATGGTTGCGACATGCCACAGACCAGAGACCAGCAGCGTGAGTGATGAGGAGCTTCGTCAGATGATCCACGGGGAGGTGGCTGTGGCTATCCGCACAGAGATACCGGAGATGTTTGGTCCATCAAGAGCACTTTGATTGAGACGTTTGACGATAAATACGCAGCAGTTACTGAGGTTGCAGCTGCTGCAGCTGTGGCTGCTGCTAGACCTCAAGGGGGTGACTCGATGCTGTTCCGGGAGTTCAGCAACACGAAGCCACCAGAGTTTGATGGGACGCAGGATCCGATTGCTGTGATGAGATGGATTTCTGATATCGAGGGATGCTTCTACACTTGTTCGTTTCCGGAGCTTAGAGGGTTCGGTTTGCACTAAACCATCTTCGCTTGGGACCGAAGGACTGGTGGAAGTATGTGACGACGAACTCCACTCTTGCAGAGATTTCGGAGGTAACCTGAGAGAGGTTCACCACCATGTTCAGAGACAAGTATGTTCCCCCAGTGGAGAGGGAACGGTTGGCACATTAGTTTTTGTCCCTCAAGCAGGGGACAGAGTCAGTGACTGTGATCACACGGATGTTCCATGAGAGGGCGTTGTTTTGCCCTGAGCACGTGTTGTCTGAGCAGGCACGCATGAGCCGATATTTGAGCATTTTGAGTAGGGACATCCAGGAGTTCGTGGCGAACTCGACTTACCGGACATTTGCTGAGCTCCAGGCAAATGCCCGGAAGAGGGAGATTGAGCTAGAGACTCATGCCAGGGAGGAGGCTGAGTCTCAGGGAAAGGATAGACGGTCGGTATAGTCTCAGTCGGTAGCCAAGTGGGCTAAGCCCGCCGATTCGAGATCTGGAGGCAAGAAGGGCCGCACCTGTGGGAAGTGCGGTGTAATTCCCCATTTCTGGAATGTAATTTAAATAAAGTATCTTTCAATTTTGTAAGGGGGTACTCGAAGAGTCTGTAGCCCGACCCGTCGAGTTGAGATGGGATAATCGTGCTTTTGGGGTCGGCTACTCGACGAGTCCACACGCTGGGACTCAGCGAGTTCACCTGTCTGATTGAAGTCCTAATTTCAAGGGTTTGCACCCTATTTAAATGTCCTTATAGCCTCCCACCCCAACCTCTAGCACCTTTAAAGCATTTCCCCTGTAAACCTTAGCCCCATTGTTGAGTTTGAGTGTGATTTTGTTAGTTTGTAAGCTTTGGAAGAGAAGGAAGGAGAGAAGGTCCATAGAAGAGAAAGGATATCCAGGAGTTAGCTTCCATCTATTTCTCATTCAGGTAATGAAGTTATGACTTTGTGTATTCCTCCATTTAAAACCCCTTTTATGCTTGTCATGTCTTCTTTGGAAGCTTTTATGATTCAAAGCTTGAGTTATGGACTCTCTTTTGGAATGGAAACCTTAGATCTGAATGTTATTGAACACCAGGAACTCATTAGAACCACCTTTATGCGATTTTGGCCTTGTTCCAACCCTAAGTGCTTAGTATTTGTTGATTTTGGGTATTTTAGCCTCATACTCTTGTGCATGCACGTAAAGTTGGAAACTTTAAGTGCAAAACCAGTCCTAGAAGCTCAGATTTATGTTTTGGAAGCACTGGAACCGATTAGAATCGATTGTGTAGTAATAGCATGCTTGGAACTCGGTGAGTTGTTCTTCAGACTCGACGAGTTGTTCTTCAACTCGGCGAGTCACAGTCTGGGTGTGTTCATATGTTGAAGGAGACCTCGACGAGTTGTTCATACAACTCGGCGAGTCGGATGAAGTTAGACTTGATGTTTGCATCGAAGAAGAACTCGTGGAGTCTTTGCCAAACTCGATGAGTAGAATAGGGTAAAGAACTAGAATGGATGATAGGGACTCGGCGAGTTGATGGCCCAACTCGGCGAGTCTGATCAACTGGAAGTTAACTTTGACCAGGGAGTTGACTTTAACTAGGGAGTTGACTTTGACTAGGGGTAAAATAGTCATTTGACCCCGAGAGCATTTACCAGTAACTGATCTAGTATTTTTGGAAATTGTAGCCGGACAGTTCCAGCATTACGAGGTGAGTTTTCCTTCCAGTAAGGAAGTGTCTATGGCCACAATACCGGCCCATCTAGTTAGCAGTAGTCCCAAACTTTGGTCTGATGTAGTAGTTCAGTGAGCTTGATGTCTTTGTGATTCAAGCATGTCTTTGTGTTATGTGTTCCGGACTTCGGTCTGATGCAGTATGCAATATATGTGTTTATGCTAGTTGATATGTTTATGCTATGCTATGTTATGCTCAGTCAGTTTCCGGACTTCGGTCCGATACAGAGCACAAGGTCCCAGTTAGTTCCGGATTTCGGTCCGATGCAGTTAGTTCCAGACTTCGGTCCGATGCAGGGGACAAGGTCCCAGTCAGTTCCGGACTTCATTCCAATGCAGTTTCTGGACTTCGGTCTGATACAGAGGGCAAGGCTGTGGTTAGTTTCGGACTTCGGTCCGATGCAGTTTCCGGGCTTCGGTCCGATGCAGTGGGCGAGGCCCAATATATGTTTATATGTTATTGTATGGTATGAGGTAGTCTGGGGGAGCTCACTAAGCTTTGTGCTTACAGTTTCAGTTTTGGTTTCAGGTACTTCTGCGAGCAAAGGGAAGAGCTCGGGTTGATGGCATCGCACACACCATAGCTTCAGTTTATCATGGGAGTTTATTTTGGATGTTACTATGGTTGATACAGATTTGTTTGACACAGTACTATGACATTTGAGTTGCTTTTTACATGGTTTTATTATCTATGATGTGATTTTTAGTATTATTAAAACAAAAATTTTTGGGTCATATTTTGGGTCGTTTCAAGTTGGTATCAGAGCCTTGGTTTGAGGGATTCAGGCACACTTATAGGTATGACTGAACTCAAACTAAGGAAATAGTAAAAGAGTTTTTTAAAAGAAAAATTTTTTCAAAAGAATTTTTTCAAAAGAGACTTAAAAACAAAAAGATTTTGAAAACGAGAAAAGGGTGTGGTGCATGCGATCAGCCGAACTCAAGTAAATACTCCCAAATTACCCATACAAGTTTTATGATTATCTGTTTCACTTTCAGTAGAGCAGACTGCTAGAATAGGACTAAGGATCTAGGAGGATGCCTTATGTGCCTGCTATATGTGTTTCAGCTTTATGCGAATTGCATGCTAGTATTGAGTAGACAGTAGTAAGATATCCTGATTAGGTTATGCCTGATATTGTGAGCTTAGCATTGTATGCTAGTACAGTTTCTTGTTATGAGAATAGAGTTGCTTGATTTGTTCCTATATCTGAATGATGATTGCTTTGTGCTTTGTGGGACTCCAAGTGATGGGAGTTTGCCATTAGGTGAATACGACACATCACATGTGATCAGGGTTGGATAATCTCAGAGTGTTGGATTTGCACCTACTGTGTAGCTCTCGTTTGAGTCCAACCATTGTAGGAACGAGTATTTTACTCGAAGGATTATCTGAGCCTCGTCACAGGTGGTGATACTCAGATGATGACTAATTAGTATTACAAGGGGGCCTTCAGCAGCTGAGGGCTGGTTTTTGGTTGAGTCAACAGATTTCCCTAGGGCGAGCCTAGGATGAGAGTAGCAGATATTAGTAGCAGTAGCAGTGACTTGGTGGAGTCGAGGCAATTCTTGAGTAAAGTACGGATAGATGTGGAAGGTAGTAGGGGCCCATGTTACTGGAAGCAAAGGATCTGTACTTGAATCAAAGAAGGCTGAGATGAGACCGGGAAACCTGTAGTAGTAGCGATCCCTCGAGATATATCAGTGTTTCTGACGTTTATCATGATGTGTTTTCAGAATGGAGGTACTACATCCTAGACCAGCAAGCGGTAGTTCAGGTGCCAGGGAGGGATCAGGATCAGGCTCGGGGGCCGAGCATTTGGATGAGTAGACTAGGGAGTTTTTCACTTCAGAGGTTACCCGTATCATACTTGAGCAGACTCCTGTGATCTTTGGTTCGATCGAGGAGGGTATTTTAGAGTTGATGGATGAGAAGTTGAGCACGTTCCGTGCTGAGATGGAGACCATGATGGGGTCGCACAGTAGGTGGTGCTGGACCCCATTGCGAGTACTAGGTGGTTGGTAGATGTTGCCTACGCGTTCTGCACCAACAGATGTCCCGAGGGGGACAAGGTCAGATTAGCATCCTGTCTTTTGAAGGACATGGCATGAGATTGGTGGGAGGATATTGGGCATGTCGTCGAGGATGAGGCAACACTTGATGCTATGACTTGGGCTGATTTTTCTACCAGGT